ATGAGTAAGATCATTGAGGACCTCATCTGCTTTACCTCCCAGTGTACCGTCGTCCAGATACCAGACATTCAGCTTGGATTTTAAATTTGAAATAATAGGTTGAATTCCCAAACTGAAAAGAGCTGGACCTAATGGATCAACCTGCTGAACGCCGACAGCAGACTCAACAATATGGTTCTGATAAAACAAGTTTGAATTTTGACTGTAACATTGCCAAAAGTAATGATATATTTCGGAGGTATTGTTAGCCACTTCTTTCAGCAGGGTTATCCTATCAATAGAGTTAAAAGCGTTTCTAAGATCAACCTTCAGAAAAACATTTGCATTGAAATTAGTTAAGAAAGTACGCACCGAATGTACCGCCGCCTCACAGCCACCTTTGGTGCCAAAGCCTAGTTGAGTAGGTTGAAATTTTGTCTTAAGGTTTGAGATTATGTACCTGCAAGCTAATTTTGAAGTTAAGCGTCGAAATGTAGAACCATCAGCAATAAGACGGATATCGTTATCCTTTTTTTTTTGAAGGCACACAATCTTGCCCCATATAAGTAGGGTATGAAATTGGGATTAACATTACCAGAAAGCATAAAATTACATAATTTTGTTATGTCATTAAGAAGTACCCTACCGGCAGAGCCATTCGAAAATGACAATATTGCGTCTAAAGTGTCTTTTTCGGAAACTTGTAATGGTTGCTTAGATGTATTGGGAGCCAGTGGTAAATTCTGGGAAGGATTGACCGAAGGATGTTTCTGACGAAGGCCTTCAAGAGTTTCGACATTACAAGGAGCGAGGATGTCATCTGAGAATAAAATACCGGATGCATTTTTTAAGTCGCCGTCCATTACTTTTGATTCAACTACTTTTTTTAAATCAAATTTAGGATAAGGTCGAGAGAAATGAGTATTAATCGGGTAATTCAAATTTTGAAAAGAATTTTCTTTTAGTTGAGATGTAATTGATTTATTTATTGTTTTACTAAAATGAAAGTGGGAATACGCGAATGTAAATAATTTTTGCCATCTTTTTTCACAATTCGTTAGACAATTTGAATAGTTAATAATAATGCTTTAGTAAGTTGCATTCTCGCGCCTCTGGGAATTCTTTTAATCACTGGTACGTTACTATACAAATTGTATAATTGTTTCGGAAAAAGTGAAGAATTTGTGTCATTAGGTATATTATCAGAAGAGTCATGAATTTCTACGGTAGGCTGTGAAGCCGAAATATTTTTACTATGGCATCGTTTAATGTGTATATTTAATCCCTTTTTACCTTTAAACAGTCTACCGTCGGTACAATTTTGACACCGTAGGAAATCCGGCTGTGAATGTATTGAAGCGATAATATTCATAAAAAATGTAAAAAATTAAAAATGTTAAAATATATCTACAGCACTCAAAAGTCTATAATTTAGTATAAATCAAAATCTTGAAAATTAAAAGAAAAACCTAGTTCTCGAGCTTTGTTTATCACCTAAAAGCACTTTTCACCATTTTTTTAAATATTTTATATAAACGCAAACGTAAAGAGCAGATTCGTCAATAACCTAATTTCTAAATTTTATATTTATTGAAGTCAGACTAAGCGGGATCCAAAAGCGCTCCCTCTATATTTTATAGATTCGCATTTTATCTTAAAATGTTTTTGTTCACTGGCAGTAGGCTCAAAGGTCATTGCAAGAAGTCTTTCATCTACTGGACTGTAGCTGAAATAAGTTATACTAGTACACTACTCCGTTAATGCGATTTGAACTATATAAAATGATTCGTCCAGTTTTAGGCGACATTTGAGATCGTAAAAATTTATCGCACAGTAATGTTCCCGACACAAATCAATTTTCAATATAATTACGCAAAAAGTTGTCATTAATAGTATGAGTTCTTCCGGTTCTTGTTCAAATTGGCGTGCCTCAGGGCTCAATTATCGTTTCTGTTCCTTGTATATATTAATTACTTACCTTACATATTAGGGAATAACCATGATATAGTATTATTTGATGATGATACGTCATTAATTTTCAAATTAAAACGACAGTTATTAAATTACGACGAAGTAAATAATGCTATAGCTAAGTTAGTCAATTGGTTTAATGTTAATACTTTGCATTGAAATGAAACTAAAACTAAAAGTATGAAATTCGTAACTCCTAATGTCAAACATGTTAATATGAATGTAATTATAAATGCGGAAGACCTGAGTCTTGTTGATACCACCATTTTTCTTGGAATCACACTAGACGCAAAGCTTCAATGGCTCACCCATATATCAAAACTAGCTAGCAGACTTAGTTCTGCAGCATATGCTGTAAAAAAGATAAGAACTCTTACCAGTGTTGAAACAGCTAGAATAGTTTACTTAAGTTATTTCCATAGCATTATGTCGTATGATATTTTGCTATGGGGACACGCGACTGACACTAAAATTATATTTATTTTACAGAAGAGGGCCATTAGAGCAATATATAATTTAAAACCAAAAGAGTCACTGAGACAAAAGTTTAAGGAAATTAATATAAAACTCTGGCCTCTCAATACATGTATTAAAATGTAATGAACTTACACAAGAATAAACGTAGTTTCGCAAAAATAAGTGATATTCATTCTGTAAATACTAGGAATAGACACAAGCTAATAGTACCAGTTACTCGACTCCACCGAGTCAGTTATTCATTCTTGGGGTTACGCTTTTACAAAAAATCCCAGAAAATATACAAAATTTGCCATACGTAAAGTTCAAAAATTTTACTAAACTAAGATTGTATAAAAAGGGTTATTATAATTTTAAGGAATTTATGGATGATAATAACCCCTGGGAAGGGTGATGTTAATTGTAAATATGATTGTAAGCTATTATTAGAAAAAAAAAATAGTCCCGCTGGGTTTCTTGCTGGTGCTTCCCAGGACAGAGGTTTTTTTGTGAACCAGTGGTAAATTAAAAAATTAATTTTTAATAAGTATTGTTTTTCATCTACAATGATTAAAAAAGTTTCTGTTTCAGTTTCTGTTACTATATAAAATATGTCAAAAAAATTTAAACTGGAACATTCGTATTTTTACTTGTTAATAATCCTTTTTTCAAAATAACTTACACATAACTGACCAGTGCCTCATACAAGGTCCTATCGTTTACTTAAGACCTATAAAATAAATACCGGGTAGGAGGGTGATTTTGATGAAGTGCAGTCAATATCCTTTGTTGAATCTGTTCTAACAAATTTCATATATTCCCTTCCATCTTCTTTGTTGACAGCATCATTCTCAGGAATGAGTATAGGCGTGCAGAGGGGGGTTTTTATCAGAATCGGACGTCAGTTGGCCTTCTCTATCACAGCATGTCACAGGATTATTATCTAAAATATATTTTTGATTATATTAATTAATTATACTTTTATGAGTTGTCGATACGTAAACAAGTATAATTATATAAATATAACTTGCGAATGCAAATTGAATCAAAAACTGGAAACATCTTTTTGGGTAAGTGCAACATCTCTATGCGATTAATAGATTTTATGAACGAAGTATCCTAATGTAGGATGTTGTCTTTTTTTAATGACCACGATGGAATGATTTATTTGTTTTACATTTCCCACTAGAGATATAATTTGGGCTTGTTTTCTGTGCGAATAATGTTTTTACTGGTCATCGTTTACGTGACGCAACCAATATTTAACTTGAGAATCGTTAAACAATTCTAATAAAGAATAATAAATGCTTTACGAAAATAAGTGTTTAGTTTCTAAAAAAATACCACTCGATATTTAGTAAGATAATGCCAGTATATTTAGATAATAAATGAAACAAAAACTTACTGATAAGTGTAGTTCTACCGGCGAAAGACATGTCGTGGGCAATTATTTGACCCCATTGCATTGTATTGAGGTTCCATTTATAAGCAATAATATTTTTGGATGGAAAAACAAGTAGACTAATAGCACGGGGATCCGGTAATGGTTCATTCTCTGACGTTTCAGGAAATTGATGCACACCTGCAATTTACAAAATTTACAATTATTAACAGAAAATGTTAGCAATAGCTACAGTTACAGTCTATTAAAGTTCACTGCGAAACTAGGTCAGAAACTTCCCACATAGGTTGCCTCATAGGAGCGATATTTGCGCTTTGCAAGCGGCTTTGAAGCCGTTTTTATTACTATTCGCTTTTAGGAAGACGCTGCTGCCCATCCCCCTGTCTGTCGCATCATACGATACGGGGTAGTGGATATTCTTACACAACAACTACAGTTTTCTCGAGTTATTAATATTTTATATTAGTGATCCGCCTCGGTTTCGCCTGGATAATGCGTATTAAAGAGGCGTTATTTTGATTGAAGATAATCAAATTCCATTTACTTTGTAAATATATTTTATTTGAAAACTTACAAGCTTTTCGGATAAAATAAAGCTCTCTATCTGTTCGTAAAGTTTCATTACAATCATTTCAGTCATTTTCAAGATTCTCGGACAGATAAACAGACAGACATACAAAAATTTTAATAATACTCTTTATAGCATGCAAATAACACCTTTCGCATTATGTAAGAAAAAAATAGTGGAATAAATAAATAATGAACTTTAAACTTACCGTCAGCATAGCTATTATTTACTAATCCTGAAAAGGGTTCTTTCGCCGCGCCCCAAAAAGGATTTTTTAAATTGTTGCAAGTGCCATCAAAATACCTGTAAGAGACTTTTTACAAGTAGTTGGAGTAGATCAACATGACAATTTTTTTTGTTTTTGGATCGATTATGTAAAGAAAAAAAAAACGAAAAATCTTATACATATATTTGTACACTTATATGTAATTTTACCCATTTTACCAGAAACTTATAATATAAATAATGTTTTAAGAAAATACTAAACGTAAAAATATTATTTTGGTACCCCATAAATCGAATCGAAAATATACAATAAAACAAGTAACGTCATAAGCTGTGTGTTATTACGTGTGTTTTATTTGATCCTGAAAATTTGAGTATAACAACTTTTACATCATGAATATGCAAAGAAGTGCTGAAGTGTATGTTGACATTTAAAAATATAGTTCCGTATGCATGTGTATACATGTGGAAGTCTTACCAACATTCTTTTTTATTAACCCCTGACGCAAAAGGAGGTGTTTGGTTTTGTTATATCACACATTCTTTATTTCATCTGATGATGTATGATTTAAACACAACCTTAAGAAAAAACAAAGATTTATTGAGATTTCACAATACACGAAACTTGGTAAAAATATAAGGTTGGGTCACGCGACCATATTGGTATGCAAACACCAAAACACTAAAAATGTAAAAGATTAATAAATAAGGTCAGTTGCGCATAGTGTTTAATTATCAAAATGCCGTCGCGGGAGAATGCACGGTGTTGCACCGTATATGCTCCGGGCCGCTACAATAGGGCAGGATACTAATCACGATTGCTTCAGAAAATATGTATGAGTTACTATGGGCGATGTAGACCTGTTTAAAATTCGAACAGATAGATCTGTTGTTATTTTATACGTAAGTAATGTAGTTTTAATAAAAAAGTATACACTCTGTAAGCACCGAGAACAAAGGAGATGAGAAACTTGTGTGATTAACACAAGTTTCTCAACTCTACAGAGTCAGCAATTCATTCATGGCGCATTGTATACGCTTTTACAACTAAGTCTCAGAAAATATAATATCATGTCCCTCTATTACCAAGTCAAAATATTTTATTAAATAAAAACGATATAAAAGGCTTAGTATAATATAAACTAGCTTTTCGCCCCGTGGTGTTCCGTCCATGTTATAGCGTCCAGACGGTTATAACTCACACTCTTTTGTGAGATACGGATAGCTCAACCTATCACACGGAAACTTTGTCATATTCGGAATGATAATGATTTTCAAAACATAAAATATATACAAGTTTTATTATTTTGTTTCAAGAACATTCATAACTGCTTTTAAATAAAAAAAATGGAGGTTGAGATTTGTGTGGATAAAATTCCATCCTGCATCCCGTTATCCCGGGGTTGCTTTGAAAAACCACAAATAATTTATCTTTTTTAACAAAGTATTTTTAGTAATTTCGAGTCAATCACTCCGTAAAATAAAAAAATTTCATACAAATGTTATGCACCGCATTACACCCTCATTGGGGTTAAATTTTCTTTAATACTTCCTTAATGGATGCCTACGTCATAAGAGATACTACTGTCGAAATATCAGATTTTTACGTCAAACATCAGATCAGGTTTTCCTCTGTTAGAAGTAAAAATATACGCTGTCAACACGTAGGAGACATATATACTAAAACTATAAAGTAGGTGACGCACTAATTCTTAGCGCTATAATCCTCGTTTATTGTGTTAAGGTTGAAGAAAGCGGACATATATAAATTATTTGCATTAATTAAACATAACATAGTTAATTATTATCTTTGTAAACCACTGATAAAGTGAAACCAGTCGCGTTATTTTATTAACATTTTTATCGTAAACACACAAATGACATCCGCCTGATTAACTATAATAAATTTTCACCAACTGACAACAAACACAATTTCAAATTCTTTAAAATTAATTTACCCCGCACTTACTATACCTGAGTGCACCTCTGTCACCACAAAACCCAACATTACTTCATTCAATTTTTTACTCTTAACACCACTCTATCCATTGAACCAGGAAACACACCACCGTCGATAAGCCGTGTTTTTCTTATAATCGAGACATCATCAGGGGATCTACTGCAATGGATGAGAAAAATTTGTCGACAATTCATGAAAATTCATTTATAATTAATGTAATTTATGTTAAGATCTGTTCAACCAAAACAGTTGCGAAAAAAGAAAGAAAATTCACATGTTCCACTATCGAGCACAGCCCCCTTTTATTTCTGAGAGGGTTTTATGGCTGACTGCCGCACTACCCCAATGCTTGTCGACGAACTTTACATATCACTTGGTCAAATTAGCCCGCGAATTGTTATAATCAAATTATTTCACTGATTTCCATGAAACAGTCATATATAATAAAATCTCTTTTTCTATAAAGCTAAATAGTTGTATTATTAAAATGCTCTCGTGATGAAAACGTCTCTCGTATACATTTATACACCAATAATAAGATAAAAAATAGCTTATGATTATCTCCATATGGTGATGAATATCAAAATAGGTTCAACGCAAAGAGATCAAAATAATATGGTCGATTTACGCTGCAGCTATATAAAATGGTTGTAGTACAAATGGGTCGATTCGACTGGGGGAAGTACCAGCGTAAAATAGCAGTTCAATACAGTTGTGTTTTGTATGGTAAGTGTAGAAATGGAGACCTTTACAACTAGGAATGAGGCATTCCATCTTAGTCCTCAAGGGTAAATAACGCATCTGCAGTTTGATTATCGAAGATAGGTCTAAATATCTATGGTAAGAGGCGGCCACTTACCATCAGGCAGACTGTGTTTGTCGCCTAAATTCTATTAAAAACAGTGACACTGTCTCTTTCAAAGTAGAATTTTCATAGCATTGTAAGCCTTTTGACTTGTCTTATAAGACTGATATTCTGTTTTCGATGGAGTCAATGCGGTGGTTTTGCATCTTAATGGCAAGCGTTAGATCTGCCATAGAATTATGGAACAAGCGCATCTCAGCACGGATGGCCTTCTTTTCACTAAGACTCGGTTTGAAGTCTATAGCTGTATCATCGAGCGATTCTAATATTCTCCATGAGGCTGCTCACTTCTTCATGAATGTTCTAGTCCTGAGTATTTTCAGTAGATGGTTTGCCGCGGACTGCCACATTCTAGTTCTCTGGTGGGACAACCAAAGCCGGAGGACTAGAAATTTCATGTGCATTCAAATTATTCGTACGCGGAAGTTTGCTCACACATTAAATGAAATTCTAATTATCTTTACACTCTTTATCAAACGAATAAAAAAAATAAAAGCGTTTACTACTTCTATTTAATCATTCAATATCATAAACCTCTTTACAATTATAACAACGTAGATATTCTCTTTTGGGTAAAGGTCTCGCATATGCAGCAGAAGTCTCGGCCAGTGTCGACATCATTTCATACAATAGAACTATCTAGGACTTATTTTATAATTAAAATATTTCTAAATTAGATGAATGCGCGCGCCCTCGAATGGGTGATCGTGGGCTTAATTAAATTGATCGATTAGCATAAGTTCGTAACTTAATTTGCCAGTAGTTAGTGGACGGCGCGACAAAAATAGTTATTGATTAAAACTACTTTTACGGATTTTATCGTGTTTATTTTACTTTTAATTACTTTTATTTTTAATTCCCGACGTTTCGGGCGCTTTCCAGCACCCATGGTCACGGGGGACTGAGATGACTGACGTCCCGATGTCATTGTTAAACCCGGAGTATCTTCAGCTTTTTTTAATTATTATTTATGGTCCGATCTATGCAAAATGAACTGACTATGTCCTGAGGTCTTGCAGTGGTATGTTTGGGTTTAGTTTTAATTTTATTGATTATAGGATCCCAAGCAGGTGGTGATACCCAGCCTCCTTCTCTATTGAAATTAGGATGTTTTTTAATTTCAATAGCCTCACGTATCATCCTTGGTAGAAATCGGTGTTCTTTCGCGTATCATCCTACCAAGGATGATAAGTGAGGCTATTGAAATTAAAAACCATCCTAATTGAGAATGAGAATGTAACAGCTACAATAAAATCGTACTTATCGAAGTCGGAATATCAACCAAAACCTTCGACGCCCTTGATAAGACACACAACTCCAATGGGTACACAATCAACTTCGGGAGCTCAAAACTCATTCAGGACAGAGTCCCGGGAAAGAAACAGCAGGATAGATGAATTATTCAAAAAGTAATCTAGCAACTTCTGAGCATTCAAAAGAATAGTTTCTAACGTAAATCTTGACGATGTGACGGAGAAATGGGAGCTAGAAGATCTAATCCGCTCTTTGAAGTTACGATGATCAGCTATCGACAGTCTGAACTGGGACATCGATACTGTGGTCCAAGGTGCCGACCAAGAATATGAAAGCACTTTTTCATATTATGAACAACTATATAATACCATCAAACGATCCATCAAAAACAAGCTGTGGTCGGTATACCATCGGAAAAATTCAATCCCACGTATGGAGGTGCCTGTTTTTATAGGAAATTATCATCAGTGGACATCATTCAAGGACCTGTTCACTGAAACTATCCATAATAACCCGTCATTATCAAATTCATAGAAAATGCAATTTCTTAAAATTAAGGTGCAAGGCAAAGCAGCAAGGCAAAGCAGCAAGGCTTTTGCAGCATCTTCCGATTAGGACTGAAAACTATAACATCTGCTGAGAAATTCTTAACCACAAATGAAACCACAAAAAACTCATTTTTACTTCGCACATCAGCAGCTTTTTGATTTCCTGTCATACAGCAACATCAAGCCATCAACCAAATCAAGCGATGCCATGACACCACTCTGGAGACGCTCAACGCGGTGAAGAACTGATATGTTGATGTCAGTACGTGGGATACTTTTCTGGTGCACTTACTGTCACAAAAATTGGACAACGAAACATTCAATGACTACAATTAAATTTAAAATTACAACAAAAAACCTGGCACAACATCGAGAGTTACCGACGCTCAAAGATTTTTGGGCACTCCTGGAAGGAAAATTCACTACGTTGAAAACATTCCGTAGAAAACAAGAATAAACCACGCAAAAACCACCATCAAGTCAGATTCTGGTGAAGAATAATAAATCAAATGTATGTAAAAGCAAGTAATCAGTTTACAATCACGTGCCCGCTCTGTAATACGTAGGACACTCAATAAGTTTTGAGATATACGAAAAGTATTTTAGATATTATTAATATTTATTTTACATCTTTTCAAAATATTCTTCATCATGCTCCATACAAAGTTCTATTCGCCTAAACTAACTGAGAAAACACTTTTGCCAGTCTTGATCTGACAGGTCGAAAACCACTTGTTGTAAGTCGGAAGTCGCTGGCGTTGGCGATACTAGTTTTCTTGAGCATACTTAGCACTTCGCCATTTTCTTTTCTTAATACACCCCTGAAGTTAAACCAAGGACTATTTTGACAAATTCTCTAACACGCAAGTAATTAGAGACGAATGGACCATGATCGTCTCTTATGACATGAGCCCCTACTGGCAAGGGATGACGATCTTTGAACAATATTTTATTTACTTTAAAACGAACATGCGATAAATTACAAAAAGACCAATGTTACATTATATTGGGGCAACTATTTCATAGTTACTCAGAGTTTCAGCGTTATAATACTATTTTGATGATACTACTTTTGCGCAGGCGCCCACGCCGCCGCTGAGGACTGATCAACGGACTCGGCAGTATTGCGAACTCATTATTTGAATTTTAGATGAGAGTTTTGCTCAAAAATATCAAAACGACTTAACGATTATGCGTGAATTATACTGTGAATGCTGATTACAGCAGCATCTGGCAACATTGTCGCAAAATCAAACAGTCGAGGCGGAGTATAAATTACTTAAAAGGGGAGAAGAAGCTATTAACAAGCAGCATAAGTTAATAAACAGACAGATTCTAAATATAGAAATCGCCGTGAACATATTAAAATCAGAGGTCATCAACATGCCTCAAGTAAATTAAATAAATTTGCCAGCCGTAGCTGCAAGCAATATGATACAGGAATTACGAAGCGTGCAGGAATCATTGCTCGACACGATCACAGACATTTATCATGGGAGATTGGTCTGGCGTGGAGGCGAATGCGACAAGCACGGTTAGTAAGAGCCAACTCTCCGGCAGTGCCCCCAGCGGAGGACCGCACCACGGTTCGCATCTCCTCCGTCCTAAACACCATTTGTGTAGAAGAAACGACTTATCATAGTGATCATGTTATCAGCCAGCTAGACAGTGTTCGAATTGTAAACAGGTCTACATCGCCCATAGCAACTCATACATCTTTTCTCAAGCAATCGTGATTAGTATCCCGCCCTTTTCTGGCGGCCCGGAGCATGTACGGTGCAACACCGTGCATTCTGCCGCGATGGCATTTTGGTAATTAAATACTATGCGCGACTGACCTTATTTATTAATATTTTACATTTTCAGTGCTTTGGTGTTTGCCTATCAATACGGTCGCGTTACCCAACCTTATATTTTTACCAAGTTTCGTGTATTGTGAAATCTCAATAAATCTTTGTTTTTTCTTAAGGTTGTGTTTAAATCATAAAGCATCAGATGAAATAAATGATGTGTGATATAACAAAACCAAACACCTCCTTTTGCGTCATGGGTTAATAAAAAAGAATATTGGTTAAGAGATTTCAACATGTATACACTTGCATACGGAACTACATTTTTAAATGTCAACATATATACGCTTGACTACTTATCAGCACTTCTTTGCATATTCATGATATAAAAGTTGTTATATTCAAATTTTCGGGATCAAATGAAACAAACACGTTCAGCTTATGACACGTTCGATTCGATTTCTAGGGTAACAAAATAACATTTTTACGTTTAGTATTTTCTTTAAACATTATTTATAATATATGTTTCTGGTAAAATGGGTAAAATGATAGATAAATAAATATCATTACATTGATATATATATATATATTTAATTTTATAAGATTTTTCCTATTTTTTTCCTTACCATCATTTTATTTTTACAGGTGCAATGTTCAGGTGGATTTTTTGTTTCACTTTAAGCATATTAGCCCATGATGTACATACTGATACGTCATATAGTTTAGCTTCTTTAAAAATCCATTACAAACCATTGATGGATTGCTTTAAATGTATCAAATTTACGAAAAGGTAATTTATCTTAAAAGTATTTTTTCATACCGTAAATCTTTACTAAGTGAAAACTCTTATGTTGCAGTCTTACAATCCCCACAATAACGCCACAAGAACTAGAAACCAAAAACGATCCAAAAACTAAAAAAATTTCATGTGGATCTACTCCAACTACTTGTAAAAAAGACCCATATAGGTCTTTTGATGGCATTTGCAATAATTTAAAAAATCCTTCTTGGGGCGCGGTGAAAGAACCCTTTTCAGAATTAGTAAATAATAGCTATGCTGACGGTAAGTTTAAAGTTCATTATTTATTTATTCCACTATTTTTTTTGCATGCTATAAAGAGTATTATTAAAATTTATGTATGTCTGTCTGTTTATCTGTTCGAGAATCTTGAAAATGACTGAACTGATTGTAATGAAACGTTACAAACAGATAGAGAGCTTTATTTTATCCGAAAAGCTTGTAAGTTTTCAAATAAAATATATTGATAAAGTAAATGGAATTTGATTATCTTCAATCAAAATAACGCCACTTTAATACGCATTATCCAGGGGAAACCGAGGCGAATCACTAATATAAAATATTAATAACTCTAGCTAACTGTAGTTGCGGTGGAGGAATATCCACTAACCCGTATCGTCCCGTGGGTGTAGTAAGAGGCGACAGAGGGAAACAATTCGGGGGATGGGCAGCAGCGTCTTCCTAAAAGCGAAGAGAAATAAAAAACTGCGGCTGTAAAGCCGCTTGCAAAGCGTGGCAATTATGACAAACATCCCTCCTATGAGGCAACCTATGTGGGAAGCCTAGTTTTGCAGTAAAATTAAATAGACTGTAACTGTAGCTATAGCAAACAATTTCTGGTAATAATTATAAATTTTGTAAATTGCAGGGGTGCATCAATTTCCTGTAACGTCAGAGAATGAACAATTACCGAATCCCCGTGCTATTAGTCTACTTCTTTTTCCATCCAAAAATATTATCGATTATAAATGGAACCTCAATACAATGCAATGGGGTCAAATAATTGCCCACGACATGTCTTTCGCCGGTAGAATTACACTTATCAGTAAGTTTTTGTTTCATTAACTGTCTAAATTTACTGGCATATTCTTACCGAATATCGAGTGGTATTTTTTTTGGAAATTAAACACTGTTATTTTCATAAAGCATTTAGTATTCTTTATTAACATTGTTTAACGATGCTCAAGTTAAATATTGTTTGCGTCACGTAAACGACTTTAAAATATTTTTCGCACAGAAAACAAGCAAAAATTATATCTTTATTGGGAAATGTAAAACAGACAAATCATTCGATCGTGGTCATTAAAAAACAACATCCTACATTAGGATACTTCGTTCGTAAAATCTATTAATCGCATAGAGATTGGTGACCAATGTTGCACTTACCCAAAAAATGTTTCCAATTTTTGATTCAATTTTCATTCGTAAGTTATATTTATATAATTATACTTGTTTATGTTTCGACAACTCATAAAACTATAATTATTTAATATGATCAAAAATATATTTTAGATAATAATCCTGTGACATGCTGTGATAGTGAAGGCCAACTGGCGTCCGATTCCGATAAAAACCCTTTCTGTGCGCCTATACTCATTCCTGAGAATGATGCTGTCAACAAAGAAGATGGAAGGGAATGTATGAAATTTGTGAGAACAGTTTCAACAAAAGATATTGACTGCACTTCATCAAAATCGCCCTCCTTCCCGGTATTTATTTTATAGATCTTAAGTAAACGACAGGACCTTGTATAAGGTACTGGTCAGTTATGTATGTTATTTTGAAAAAGGATTATTAACAAATAAAAATACGAATGTTCCAGTTTTAATTTTTTTCACATATTTGTATATAGTTACATTGAAAAATTGATCGGTGTCGGGAACGTTACCGTGCGATAAATTTTTATGATTTCAAATGTCGCCTAAATCTGGACGAATCATTTTATATAGTTCAAATCGCATTTACGGAGTAGTGTACAAGTATAACTTATTTCAGCTACAGTCCAGTAGATGAAAGACTTCTTGCAATGACGTTTGCCTATTCCGAGTGATCAAAAACATTTTAAGATAAAATGCGAATCTATAAAATATAGAGGGAGCGCTTTTGGATCCTGCTTAGTCTGACTTTAATTAATATAAAATTTAGAAATTAGGTTATTGACGAATTTGCTCTTTACGTTTACGTTTATATAAAATATTAAAAAACAAATGAGATAAGTCCTCCAAATGAGCTTGGAATTACCGAATTTCTTTCTTATGGTAACATTGCACATTATGATTATAATATAGCGAACAAATTCAATTTAAAAAATCGAACGAAGCCGTTTATTATTTCTAAACAACTTAATATGGTAAACATTGAAGTATTTATCTACATGAGAGTTAAACGAGTTCTTAAATATCTTTGCAGTGTCAATGACACAGAAAATTTATTTTTAAAATACTATCTTTCTCATATAGGCGTAATGGGAAAACAATTTTTGTAGAAAAACAAAATTGCCGGTACATAAAGTAGGTTTTATACAATTTTTATATTTTTCGTTATATTAATTAGGATTTTCCCAACTTTTGCCACTTTTGAGCGGCGCCACTTTTGAGTGAGGTGAAATGTTTTGATAGATTTCAAGGGGGGGAGGGCAAGTTAAATAGTTTTATTGCTTGTCCCCCCCTCCCCCAAGTTAAATGGTTAATTGATATATTAGTTTTATTTACTATAAATGAACAGAAACATTATGTTGTATATACTAAACATTATTTTGTATACACATTTATATACAGATAAATAAATCGATAATTGGATTGTTCATAATGGTATTATTTACAATCTCTTGCTCTAAACATTAATTTAATGCAAAGTATGACCAATAGTCAAATAACTTTATGTTCTAAAATGGCGACATTATCCTGGATGCATTTAAAGATATAATTTATTTTCCTATTTAAAAAATTTATGTTTGGTTGTGATGAATAATTTGAATGTGTGTCCTTACAAAAATGTAGCTTTTCCACGTTATATGTATATTAGTAGTTATTACTCTTAGTAATTGTAAGTAAAATAAGGTCTATCAATTTTGCGGCTCCTCGTAGACATACAATTACTACAAAGACAATTATTTTAGGTCTGGGATAACCAGGACAATTATACTGCTTGAATAAATATTCATAAACTATTAGACTTTCAAGCATTTTCTTCACTACACGGCAGTACACAAAATGATAAATATTTTATATAATATATTATGTATAGTATAGGTTTTTATCATAGGTGTAATTGATAAAACAAAAGACGCTTCATTATTTATTAATTTTATTGGTTAAAACTACCGATAATTCTTGACTTACATATTAATAGGTTACGTCGTTTAGAATTTGTTAAAGTTTTATAATAATGGATTACTCAGAACTTGAATATTTCGATTAGAGAATATTTTGAATCTTTTTAACTAATTTAATTAAAAATATTATTTCTTTTCTCAATTTTTTGTTTCAGATAAATGAAGTCACGTCCTACTTGGATCTCTCTTTGACATATGGTAATAGTAAGAAACAAGCCGATTCACTGCGTGAAGGTCGAGGGGGTCGCTTAAAAGTAGTTGAACGAAATGGCGGAACGTAGCCAGCACAGGCTGCTAATGCTTTGCAGACCTGTTCCGGCGCAACCAGCGCTGATGAACCGTGCTACGTAGCTGGTACTATAGTTTATAGTTATAAAAATTGCTAAAATGAAGCGAAGTAAAAGTTGAACATGCTTTTAATAATCTTAACATTTATATTATCTATAATAAACTCTTTATAACTTTAAAGCAATAGATAACATTTGAATAATAAGTTTAATCTGTTGTTTACTTCTCCGAAATACTTGTAAACAGGTGATGCGAGAGTGAATCTAAATCCTCAACTTACTGTTCTACAAGTGATTTTACTTAAAGAACACAATCGTATTGCCGATACATTGTCTGACATAAACAAACATTGGGACGACGTAAAGATTTATCAAACAGCACGGCGAATCTTTATAGCATTGTATCAAAAAATATGTTACAATGAGTACCTACCAATATTGCTAGGTTACATGTATTTATGATATGGACAACAATTCCTTATATTATGACTATATACATAAATAATTAAATTTGTTTTTGAAAACCAAAGGGTCTGTTGCCTAAATAATACATTTAATATTTCAATTTGCATTTCTTAGGTGAGGACAATATGGCTAAGAATAAACTTATATATCCAAACGCAAAGGGTTATGTTAATGATTACAATCCAAATGTAAAAGCAGGAGTGCTCAAAGAGTCTGCGTCAGCTGCCTTTAGATATTTCCATACGTTGATACGTGGTCAATTAAGGTAATTTTAATTTTATTTGATCTACATTTTTCTAACAAACCTGTTCTTCATTTTTTAGAACACATTCAACAATCTCATAACTCGTTCGAGTACATTTTTATATCTTTATATTAAAGATAGGCAGTAGATGGACACGCAGTAAGTTTCCGATAAAAGAAAATATTTTTTGAGACACTAACCAGTTAGAAGTTACTTCGAAAATCATTTTTTTATAAGTATAACAACAAAAAAATCGTGTTTGATATAAAAAAGGAATGGCGTCGGTAACATTTTTACGCGATAATGCTTTTTTGAATGTTACGCCTGTTACAAGGTGTACCCCTGGTATAACACATTTTGACACGGTTGACTAACTATGAGAGGTAAGATAAGATAACAACAATATAAATATGATAGGTGGAATAGGATAGGTGAAATGTAATACTTGAGATACAGCATCATTTATATTTTATATTTATAAATAAAACTGGAAATGTACAGCAACCTCTTCCCGACAACGACTAAAATAATAAAAAACTGCGGTTGCCAACCGGCTGCTTGGTGTAGTAACTTCGGTAATCACCCCCCCCCCCCCTCCCATAATATATGGAAGAGGCCTATGTATAGCTATAGACCTTTGATAAATAAATCTAGAAAAAAAAACTTTAATATAATAAAACTAGAAATAAACTCCATAAACTAATAGAAACAAAACGAAATACTCTTTTAATGAAATACATAATAATTTTAAAGATACAAAAATATTTGAAAAAATTATCTGTGAGCAGATTCATAGTTTTTACCGAATGCACGAAGTCATAAACAAAAACCAGTACGGATTTTAGGCGGATAAAAGTACTACGGACCTTCGATGTAAGTTTACAGATGAGGTAAACGAGCATATGTACTGTAAAACGTGTACTGACCTTGTTTATTGATTTCTCTCGTGCTTTCGATACGCTGCAACATCAACTCTTAATCAATACACTAGATGATTGTGATAACCGGGGTCCTTTGCTCAATTGGTGTAGAAACTACCACCACAATCTAATCTAATAAATTACCTTTCGATGTACGCGAGAAAGTATCACAACAAAACATTAAAACTAAACTCAAAAGATTTTTCCTATCTAAATTATAATTACCTACTTTATCTACTTACTTAATAATAATGTACCTACCTAGTTCTTACTTTTACCTTGCTACTTCTGACTTTAAATAAGTTGTTAACTTACCTTCTAAACCTTTATGTTCTTACCTTTATATACCTACCTGCCTAGTTATTACTTTTACCTTGCTACTTCTGACTTTAACTAAGTTGTAAACTTACCTTCTTAGTCTTTGTACTCTTACTTATACCTTCTACTTATTCACATACCCAACTACTTACTCAGACTGTGTTTTTTATATAATATGGTGACTTAATTATTTGGCATTAAGTCAAAACTCCGTGATTTTTAGATGTTACTTAGACCTAATGTATGTTAGTGACTATTTACACAAACGGTAATATACGTAAGTATTTACCTATCTTGTGGAAATTGATCAAAAGTTTTACATAAACCCGTATATATACCTACATACTTACATACAATACATACATGCACGTCATACATACATACATCATGTACATTGATTTGATACAGGGACTATACTATCAAATATAGGTTTTTAGGTATTTTAGATACTTTTAAAACACCTTATGATAATTATGCTGTTATTTTTGATTTGCAGACTATTCAAGGAAAGTCGATTTCCGTACCAGTCTATAAGATTAAGTGACTGGTTGAACAAGCCATCAATACTTGAGAAAAATGACGGCTATGATGGCTTAATGATAGGTTTATCTTTTCAACCTCAAGATAAAAGTGACCAATACTTCGACCGTGAAATTACTCAATACTTATTTAAGTAAGTATGTTTTATTTTTTACATAAACATCAATTGCTGTCCGTTGTTCTCGCTAAACCTGATTCAACCGAATGCTGCATATTAATACCAAATAATATTATAAATCCGAATAACACTGTCGTGTTTCGTGATGAGTGTAGAGAACCGGACTCCCTTTTCAACAAAGTGACGAGTACCAAAACTTTCTATTGACCACAGCATCCAATTGGACTTTGTGCTCGTTTGTCACCCTTATTCTATAAACACCGAATTGGTTCAACCGATTGTGGTGTATCAAAGCTACATTATAGCTGCAGCATAATAATACCGAATAAAGCTGTCGTGTTTCGTGGTGTGTGTAGAGAACTGGAGTCCCTTTTCATCAAGGTAACTATCTTAAATCGTAAATATCTTAATGCTCAGAGGTACGCGAGTGCCTCAGGCAACGCATCTGTATTGTTTATCGATGTGTATGTGTATATATATCAGAACTTGTTGAAAAATTAATTATCGTTGCGTATCCTGAATTTTCTGAAAGCCTAATTTTAATGTTATTCTGAAAAAAGTTATAAATCTTAAGAACTCAGAACGGATGCACTTCAAGAAACCCTCAAAAATGCCACCATACAATAAAAAAGCACAATTTCATTGATAATCAAATTATAATGTCACTTTCTTTATTGAAACACAACAGTGCCTACAACCACTTGAAGAAATTGTCATCCCTTTTCATTTTACAAAATTTTCTTATCTAAACCGCAGCATGTAAGATAGGTACTGTGCCAATTAATATTAAAAGAATAAAACTACTAAAAAAATTAAATAATAAATAATGGTCTGATGTAATGTAATGAAATGAGAGATTACATGAAACCGCATGTATGATATCTAAATCCATATCTCGCCAACACAATACGCGTAAAATTTTAAACTATTCAGTCCCAGTTTGGTGAGGAAATGTGAAATGTCAAAGCTAAAATATTTAATTGTAACAGCTTACAGGTGTTTACATTTTGCTGTAATAATTATCGATAGAAGTACAAAGTACTAAGGAGGTTAGTAAAAAATCGGGACATTTGGCGTAGGACGTGGCATCAAGGGTGAATCGGGACGTGTCACCAAACCCTGGAAAATGAGGATGTCCGGCCCAAATCGGTACAATTGACAACACTAACGTGTATATAATGATTTCTTATATTTACGTGAACACTACACATTTAAATAATACTAGGTTTTTTACGGATTTTATCGCGTATATTAACTGTTTTAATATACCTGACGTTTCGAGCACTTTACTGCACCCATGGTCACGAGGGAGAACTGAGATGTTCAACGTCCAGATGTCATAGTTAACCGCGGTTACCATAGATTAAAATTATTAATTTTAAATTTTTGATCCGATCTATGCAGTATGAACTTATAGTATCTTGAAGTTTTGCAGTTGTATGCTTGGGTTGGGATTTAATTTTATTAATTATAGGATACCAAGCAGATAGTAGCATTTCGCTTTTGAAATTAGGATTTTTTTTGATTACAACAGCCTCGCGAATCATTCTTGGAAGGAATCGGTGTTCTTAAGCGAGGATTTGTGGTGTATCAAATCTGATGTAGTGACGGGGGCGATCCTGTACGTGTTCACAGACTGCAGCCTTCGCGGAGCGTCGATACTTCACATCAGCTATATGTTATTTAACGCGGGTTTTAATTGATCCTTTAGTTTGTCCTATGTGGGAGAGACCACATTCATAATCAAGCTTATACACTCCTGCATCTTGCAGAGGGATGTTCCATTTGACTGATGGTAAAAACAGACCAATCTTCTTCGGCGAATCTTGGATTTACGGCAGAAGTAAGCAAGGCTTTCTCCTCAATGTCTTCCATGATTATGTCGGCGACAATGGGAGACGCAGATGAGCCCATCGCCACACCATCTACTTGCTTGTAGAACTCTTCCTTTCACAATAGGTAGCCAGATGTAAGGCAGTGTCTGAGTAATACTATATATTCTACGTGCATGTTGTTTTCTTTCAGCCTTCTAATTACAATTGAAGTTGCAGTCTTCAACAGGTAAGCATGTAAACCATGACTGCACATCAAAACTGACCATAGTTTCGTTGTCTGCCAGATGTAGGTCTTTAATCTCGCTGACAAAATGGTAGTAATCCCTTTTGTGTGCTCTTGTATGTCCCCTGAGCGGTGAAAGTATTTTCGCTAAGTGTTGAGCCAATCTGTAAGTTGGTGAATCGATTTGGCTCTCTATGGGACGTAGTGGAGCACTGAGCTGGTGTATTTTTGGTAACCTATACAATTTTGGTGATTTAGCGCACGTAGGTATTATCGATTTTACGTCAAGATTTAATTTTTCGGAGTGTTTCTTTATGAGGTCACAAGTTGTTTTAAGTGTTGTTTCAATTTGTTGGGTCGTTTTTATCCTTTTTATAAGTGCTTACATCCCACAAAATTTCTTGTATTTTAGTATTATAATCTAATGTATCCATGACTATCGTGGCATTTCCCTTATCTGTGTAGAGAATCGTGAGTTCTGGTTTATTGCCTAGGTTTTTTACCGCTACAAATTCGTTTTTGGAAAGATTCGGTTAACGCACTGAACTTTGACGTAACATAGACGAAATGTCTTGACGTATCGCCTCCAAATCTTCTTTCACTACAGATAATTTCTTCGAACGGTAATCTGCGCGGTGTTATCGCGAAATTTAAACTTTTGGATAATACACTAATAAACGCCACTTTTTCTATTTATTTGTTTATTGTAGTACATGAATCATCCGTATATTCATAATTAATTTAATAGTCATAACAGAATAGAAAAAATAATAAAAACAAATTCAGTGTTATTTTCTCATATTTAAAAATATTGTCGTAAGCGAACGCGCGCAAGTTACGTTCTAGTGACCTGTCAATCTGTCACCCGCACCTTGCTATAACGCAAAGACTATACATACTCGTTACATTCTTAATTATCTTAACGTTCTTAATAATGTAATATTATAATGTAATATTCAACTTGCAGTAACTTAAACTAACTTCAGTTTACTTAAATCTCCAGGGGAAACAAAACCCTAGGTTTGGATTTGCGAGCTATTGATATTCAACGTGCTCGCGATCATGGTGTAGCCAACTATATTGATCTTCGATCTTATTGTGGTCTTTCTATCCCAAAGGACTTCGACGATCTATGTGACTACATGTCAATAAAGGTAAGTCTGTTTTAATTCATTATCAAAAAGCTAATAATTTTATTAAGTACAATCATATTTAAGTTAATATTCGTATTCTTAGAATATTGATAATTAAAAAAATATTTTTTACAACAACAAACACTACGTTAATGTATTCTTGTTGATAAATCTACAGAACGTAAATGCACTTAAATCAATATATAAAAGAGTAGAAGACATTGAACTTACTGTAGGAGGATCATTGGAGAAACATGTACATGGGACTTTAGTGGGGCCCACTTTTCTTTGCATCTTACTTAGACAGTTTTACATCACGCGCGTTGGTGACCGATACTTTTATGAAAATGGAGAGGACAAGGAAATCGCTTTTACACTTGGTAAGCAATGTGTAGCCATACCATTTTATAGAGGAGGGGGGGGGCAATGGCGCTAACTCTTAGCTATCTCTGCTCCTCACTAAGTGGTAATAGTAAATTATACCTACAAGTTTTCTTTCACAGTCAAGAAGGAAAACATTGTAATGAAACTTAAAGATCTGAGAAAGAAAAAAATTCAAAGACATGTTTACTCCGTCTATACACACAGGTAATGCAGTAGACTCATAGGTCCATAAGAATGCGTGTCTACCAGAGCTATGAAAGTTTCTAGCAGAGGTAGCTAAGTGGTGCGGGAGGCAAAATCCACCAGTACGATTACTTCATGTTAGGAGTCTCTATCAGCGTAGTTCTATTAAAAGAGGGCTGAGAAAACCTTAGTATCTCTTACTCGTTTTGTATATATACAAAACAAGCAAAAGATATGTCGAAATGACGCGGGCGAAAGAGACGTACAAGGAATGCCACAGAGTAATTACATACATATGTAAAGAGGTTGCACGGCGGTGGATTCAGGACTTCCAATCATTTAAAGGTTTTGTTAATAATAGACGTGTATATGAAAAATAGGAATAATCCATTTGAAAAAAATACATTTTTTTAACTGAAATGACAACCGAATTCACGAACGTAAACAATTAATTTACTAACATTATTTTCACCAGCATTATCTTCAGTTAAATACAATTCAAACGGAGTGGAGCCGAGATGTCTCAAATTTATATGGCTTGAGGCCGGAGTATGTGGAAAATGGTTAGATGCGTGAGATCACAGATCACCACAACCACAATTCACAGCCTGGCTCCGCTCTAGGCAGCGCACATATCCGTTTAGCTTCGGTCAATTCACCCCGGTCTCTCCTCCCCTCTCCTTTGCTTTGCTAGATTCCAGACCCAATCCTCTTAGAAATTTGAGAGAAGGACTGTTTTCAATAGCTGAATGTACATATAATGCTGTAATTTTATTTGAATTTACATTTTTATAATAAAAACTAGTTTTCAATTAAGCGATAAAAATAATTCATAAAAATAAAATAAAGCTTAACGCTAACCGCTTCACGTTGAGGTGTGCAATACGGTCCTTATGCTTGTTTGAAAGATAAAATATTTTAAAAATTGTATACAAAATGTTTTCAGATCAACTAGAAACTATCCGTAAAGGTTCTTCTATGGCGCGTTTATTCTGTGATAATGGTATTAACATAAAGAAAATGCAAGCGAAAGCCTTCGAATTGGTATCTCCATGGTAAGAAAAATGTTAATTTTCATTTTCATCAATATCAATCATCATTGTTCATATATGTTAAGCTCTTTATGCTATCCGGCTAGTCAAAAATGTGACTTTTCAACAGTTTATAATTAGTTTAAATGTTTGAATAAAATTGAAAAGACGCGGAATATCAAATATTCTTAAACTAATTACGCTATGCTATTTTTTATTACACGTAGTGTTGTAACATCTATCCACTTGTACAAAAGTAAGAACGTTCTTTGTTATATTTCTTAATTAAATTAGCTTTATACTTTTGACATTATTTATTAATATATAATATATATATATATATATATATATATATATATATATATATATATATATACGTTAAATATTTGAACCATTTCACGACACTAATCAACACAATGGTGTTTTTGGGCCTCTGTCAAATTATGAGGTATCCACCGGGCACAAAGGTTCCTGACCGCTAAATGTTCATGGAGGATTTTGTGCACTCGATTTATATCGATGCCTAAGCTTGTCTACATCTGCTGATAAGTCACTCTTTTGTCAGTCTCTATCAAACGCTGCACAACATAATATTATATCACAATTACATTTTAATTATATTTTTATCTGAATATTTTAAAAGGTTTCTATGTCAAATAAACATACTAAATGTATGTTTAATAAAACTTATTAATATAGCATTTAAATTACAAATATATTTATTTAAATTAGAATAAGAGTCGTTCATAAATGCTGGGCACGCGAAAGTTAAAAATGGACGAATTTATTCCACTTTGACTTTGATGCGGAAACCTAAAAATAAAATAAAAGAATAATAAGCAGATTTAAATATAAAAAATTAGCCTAATTATGATAACTTATATATGTTCCTACAAATAAAAGTGTATAATAATATATTCGTCCTATACTTAAGTACCCACAGAAATGACGCATCTGAACAAATTAATTTCATAATCTATATTCCATGACACGAGACATGGCGTCTTAGGAATAATTTGTTTTATTATTAATCTATAATAGTTTTTTATTGATTAAGTTTCTTATTAACCGATGAATGGTAATTCCTTGGTTTTTACTGACACTTCTTGAATTATTTGCGCAATATAGGTACACACGACGGCATATTTTTATCAAGAGATTTTTTTTTAAATCAACACAACACGTGTCAACTATACAAGCGCCTAGCGGGTGACTGATTAAAGTGCGGTGTAAGCACCGCAGTTGAATGGAACAGAGTAGCTGAATGCAGTGTCGCCTCTACTACGTAGTACATAATAGTTCAATGACAAATTAATAAAATATATACACAATAATATTGGCAGAGTTCCATTTTAAAAATTTTAACTTATTTTTTTTATTATATCATTTACAAAAGTGGCCTCTTCTAAAAACTAATACACTAATACAGTGTCGCCCTCGTAAACCCTAATATAAACTTTAATGTTATTAAATATTTTGTATCAAACTGAATGAGGTAAGTAAGAAAAACTTTGTCGGTCTTAGTTCACTGCGTCACCATCGATAATTTCTTCCCATTCCTACAAAAATTATGCTCGCACAGTCTCTTCTCCTTCCGATTCTCGACTATGCTGACGCAAGCTATGTAGACATAACTAAGGACCAGCTAACTAAGCTTGAGATACTTCAAAATACTAGTATTCGATTCATATTTTGATTGCGCAAATTTGACCATATTTTCCAATTTTGCTCACGTCTCAAGTGTTTACCCATCCAATTTCGCCGAAACATGCATATTCTTTCTATTCTATACTGTGTCTTATTTCACCCTTCTACTCCTACTTATCTAAAGGGGAAGTTTAGTTTTGTTGGGCATCCAGGGGAACTTCTAAACTCTTCAAGAAAATTTATTTTGAGGGTACCAACTCACAATACATATTTCCTTATTAAATATTTTACTGCCCAGTCTATTAAGTTCTGGAATGCCCTACTATAATATAAACTATTGTAGTCTTTAAGCACTTCTTAAAGAGCATTACTTGTCTCAATCGTTCGAACATTGTTAGGATAAGTTATGTGATTATGTTATTATTTGAGGAATTTTTGTAATTTATATATATATATATATATATATATATATATATATATGTGTGTGTGTATTGATATTATATTATGTATATTTATATTGCACCACCTACCTACATTCAATTACACCTTTGGTTGCCTGGAAGAGATCGCTATGTAGCGATAAGGCCGCCAAATTGTACATGTAATCTGCTCTTTGTTTTGTTCTTTGTAAATTTACTTGTGGTGTACAATAAAGTATATTCATTCATTCTTTCATAATTTTTGCCTTTTACAGGAATGCGATAGTTCAATGCGATCAACTGCCATTTGTTAATTTAACTCTATGGAAAGACACACAATAAGAAGAAAAAAAAATGTAATGATAAAGTTAACTAGTTAACATTTATTTTTAGGGATTTACAAACCATAAGTTATATTATATAATATATATTAATTTGAGAGAGTGAAGAATTGCCGCAAACTCGACGTTACATCCAATAATTTTCACACACAAATAATTGTAACTGTAACTTTTAATCAATAAATTTCGTTCAAAATATAGTTTTGCATTTTTTTGTATATTGCGTTCGCAGATTTTGTAACTGGAACAGTTTGTAGTATCACAGAAAACTAGTCAGTGAATAGCTCACGGCTAGATACAACTCAAAACCAGCCGAGCCAGCAACTGCAGACGAGATTAGTATCCGAAACTCGATATATCAGAAAATTGTAGTTTTTAAGCAAACGTATCTGTTTACGCCAAATTGTTGCGACTTGAAACTTGCAAGGTGTGCGTCTCGGGCGAGGAACCCGGTTGCGCGGGGGGGGGGGAGAGTTCGCTTTGCGCCCACGGCGGTGCCAGCTAGTCTAGCAGTCTAGCGGTGCCAGCTAATATTCGATTGTACGCGACGGCCGTGTCGATTAGAGGTCGGGAGTTACGTAATAATCGTTAGGTCGCGTTACGACTGGCTCCTTTGTGTTGTCTTATTTTGTACGTCTACGTGATAACGAGGCTTTCTTTGAGTTTGAGTGATTACTTTATCTTCGATCGCCATTAATTTGCGTCGACGAGTGGCTTGTGTAGTTAATATTGTACGAAGGAATTTTGCTTTGTCGTGTGGAACGCTAAACTTTGTGATCCGGGTGGAGATCGCGTTCGATTATAGTTTGTGCTAAGTGAAGTTAGACTTGAGTTCCGATAGCGTGAACACCCACTGGAGTGATTGCGCCTTGTGGAGCGGGTCAACGCATGTGGTTCTGCTATCCGATTGCATCGGTGACGTCAGGTTACATTACACACCTTCCTATACCACTCACACATACCATTTACTTGCCCCTGACGACACCTGGTGGTCGACCCTACCTCCGGAACTTGGTAAGTTTGTGTTTGCTTATACAGCCATTATAATAATTATCAATAGGCCATTTAGGCCCGCACCCTCGGTTGCTCGTCGAGTTGGATTACTGATGGGTCCTAGTCCGGTCGACTTTTGTCGGGGAAACTGAGGGCCGTAACAGTATCTAATGTTTCTTTATTTTTTATAATAAAGTTTTTTTCTATATTTCACTATTTCTTATCAAAGTTAATGAAACATCTCTAGGCTAGAACGTACGAAAGGCGTTCAGTTAAATGTGAGAATGAGTAAGTTACAGGTCTTAGTCAACTTTTTATGTAATACACTTTAGTTGTCTTTTTTTAACTTAGAATCCCTATCCTCCTTTCATCAGCGACTACAACTTAACCATCTACAAATTTCTGTCGTTTCCTTTTTCGCTGTTTAAACCCCGAAAGTATTTAACAAAATTAACACCTAGTCATTTCCACTAGATTCAAGGTTTGATAAATATGGAGAATACTTAAGTATTTCAAAAGCAGTATCTCAAATTGCAGTCATCGCAACGATAAACATGTAACCCGGGGTGTTATTTTGATGAAAAAAAAAAAACAATTTTTATGAGTTAACCTCGCAGTTTATCCCGAATTTCGTTGCTCAATTTTTTGAATTGTTCGGTATAAAAAGTATCCGTAACACTACTCCATGATCGAGATATTCAATTATTGCTTTCCACTTGACTACCCAGATGACTACTCCAATGAGAGACCATGATATTACTGCCAGAAGGATTCGACTTGAACGCTGAAGCCATGTTTCATCACAAAACGTATTAGTCTTTTGTTTCAAAAGTTTGAAAAAGACTCAAAAATATTAGTTCGCTTTGTTTCTACGCATTGATAAGCACTTTGTATACCAAACGCACAGTTACTTGTTTCCTTAGCTTTTTTAGTATCCAAGCGTAAAAATGTATGCACACTAGCTGTCAAAATCTTCGTTTATCAGCAATAACACGAGCCACGATGTTCTACTCATTTTTTTTATAAATTTTTTTTGGTGACTACTGTCGTAGGGTGTAACGAGCGATGATTATATTTAAGGATTGTTTTCCTCCCATTTAAATACGGTGCACTTACCTGCAACTGCAGAATACAGCAGCGCGTTGAACTATGATGTACGCCAAAAATTTAGTTGACTCGTTTTGTAGTAAATTTATTCAATACAGATAATTATTAACGACACATGTTTTTAATTTTTTTCCTTTTCACTATCGCACAGAGCCAAAATGGCTAATTTTTTTAGAAAATAAGTAATCAGTTTTTTTAGGTATCTAACAGATATTCCAACTTTACCTGCCTATAATTACTTTTTGAAAATTGAATTAGTTTGTGCTATTTTTCCACTTGTTTCATCGAATCCTCGTAGATTTTACCTATTATCAGATACGTTGTCAACCTTGAGGACCAAGATTGATTGTTGATATAAAAAGGATTCACTGTTCGTCACTAACCATATGAAACCTACTACGACGACTACTTTCGGATGTAGACAGAACAGGCCGACTAATTTGTGTTAGTGCTTCCTAGACTCGACAAGGACCTCTGCTACAGTCTCTATCTCTATCAATCTTTATTAAAAAGTGATTACGTGTCTTACAGAATACAAGTTCTGAAGATCGAGAGGATGTTTAGTTCTGAAGCCAGCATTAATTTTGTTGCGCTTTGATTCAGGGCAGTATCCTGGTTCCTCCTTTATTTTCAATTTATATAGATGGTTTATCTAGATAATATAAATTTACGGTTTAAGACATTTATTTCTCAAAAAGAATACAATTCACTTATCATGAATATAGTATATAATTATTAACTTGTTATATAGAAATATCAAGTTAATAATTAGATACTAAATACATAAACTTATGAAGAACGGCAGGTACTTGTAAATGATCTGTTAAGTAGTGGAAGCACAATCTTGTTACTTGTTGTGGGTAATGAGAAAAGTACATGTACAATTACATATCGTTATTGAAAGAAAGTCTATAGCAATTACACATTGTTCATATTTGCAAGCAATTTAGATGGTATTTTTATGTTAATGGTTATATTTTAAATAATTGGTAAAATCAAATTAATTAAAGAAATAACATTAGCTTTTTGAATAAGTTATTGGTGTTTAAAATCGAGAAAAATCTTTTAAGATGTGGTGTTTTAATGTTTTTTTTGTATAAAATAAAGGACTGGATCTCTTTTATGTTATTAGGCAATTTATTATATAACTCTGCTCCTTCGTACTTTATATTTTTTCTTCCGTAGTTAGTTCGAGGTTGTCTTAGGCAAATGTTATTTTGTCGTCTAGTAATACATTTTTGTATTAGTCCTTTCTTTGTAAACGTTATTTTAGAGTGTATATCTTTATTTAATAATTTATGTACTAATATGCATGTATTATATTTATAAATCTGTGATAGTGTCATTAATTGAGTTTCTTTGTAAATTTTTTCAGTAGGAGTTAGATAGTGATAATGGAATAATAGTTTGATTATTTTGTTTTGACATGTTTCAATTTGTTTTAGATTAGTTTTAGCCGCAGTACCCCACACCTCTATTAGGTAGTCTAGATGAGGTTTTATCATGTAGTTGTATACTCACTGATTTTGGCAGACAGCGAATATTACCTCGAAGCGCACCCATGATAGAAGATAGCTTAGATCTTAATTTATCTAGGTGCGGCTGCCACGTTAAGTGTTTATCTAGTTGGAGTCCAAGATACTTTTCTGTACTAACTTTGGTTAAGGGTTCATTATTTATACGGAGAGTTAAGCGATTTTCGTTTTTTTTTTGTTTTTAGTACTGAAAATAATGTAACTAGTTTTAGAAAGCAAATTTTCTTGGAACCATCTAGAGAGTGTATTCAAATCCTGCTGTGCTTGTTTAATGATCTGCTCGATGTCCTTGCCAAATAAAAATAAACATCTGTCGTCAGCATATAGTATTTATATCACTTGACAGGTTAAGGTTATGCACATCGTTTACGTATATTATGAAAAGCAAGGGACCGAGAATAGAGCCTTGTGGTACCCCGCAGGCTAAAGATTCGTGATTACTTTCGATATCACCGGTCCTAATAATTTGCTGTCTGTTAGAGAGATATGACTGAAACATGTCGTGGGCAGTATCCCGGATGCCGATATCATATAGTTTTCGGAGAAGCAGCCTTTTTCAGATCGATAAATATACCGAATGCTGCGCGTTTTTTATCAATATTGTTTTTCAACTATGTCACAAGGTCAATTTTTGCAGTTAATGTATTAGATTTTGAGCGGAAACCATATTGATTATTTGATAAGAAGTTAATAGTTTTAAGATAATTATCTAAGCGTTTATATAATATTTTCTCGTAAATTTTAGAGATAATTGGGAGAACTGAGATAGGGCGATAATTGGGTCGGTCTTTTTTCCTGATTTAAAAATTGGACTCACTTTTGCTACTTTAAGAGGATCGGGGAAGAATCCGTTTTGTAAACAATGGTTGACATTCAATGTTAATTTGTGTAATATTAAATTTTTGATGCATTTTAAGGTTATGCAACTAATTCCGTCTAAGCCCGTGTTAGTGTTTGGATTAAGTTTATCTATAATTTTACCTACCTCCTCTTTCGTAGTTGGAGTAAGATATAGCAGTTCGTATGTACTAGAATTAGCCGTTTGAGGGCTAGGCTGTGTAAGTAGTTTTTCCTTATGCATTTTAATTTTATTTGCTAAAATACAACCTATAGTAGCAAAGAAAGTATTGAGATAATAACATATTTCTTTACAACCTGTAATTGGACCCATTTGTGTATTTAGTTTTATAGGAGCAGAGAATGACTTTGTTTTGTTACCAGCTAAGTTACTGATCAGCTTCCACATCTTTAAAAGTTTTCTTTCACAGTTTTTGAAGGCTTTGTAATAGTAGTTATTTTTAGTACTTTGAATTTGCTCAGTCACGGTATTTCGTAGGGCAATAAAGTCTTTTCTTATTGATTCGTC